GGGTATACTTTCTTAGGGAATATAAAGGTTCTCTTCATATTATTGAATGCCTCCCAACTGTTACTTCCCGAGGGATTCACTCTTCCTTGTTAATTCATTGCACTACCTCTACTCTTACCCCTTGTCTGCTTTGCACTCTCAGACCCTCATCTTCTCAGATGTCCTGGGAGAATCCCAGAGGAAATAAGGATCAGGGGACAGGAGTAGGTGTGGAAAGAGGGAGGAAAGTTGTAAAGATTGTCTTGCTTTGAGGAAGTCACTATGAAGCCAGGAAGGAAAAAATAGTTGGCTTTCTTGTTTCTCTTCCCCTTCCCTTTCCTCTTCCCTCCTCTGATTTTTAGCTTGAATGTCTGCAGCGGCAGCTCTTGGTGATAGTCTCTGGCAATCGTTTCACTGCAGATCTCTCTGCTGGAGACTCCTGAAATGAGGTTTCTGTTTCATTTACTCCCTCATTTCTTCCCATATTCACTGAGTTGGGGATGTGTGTGCAGCACTTACTTCTAACTCTTCCAAATGATAATTTGACTGGAAAACCAGGTAGTTTTGAATGGATGTTTCTCTTGTAAGACTGTCTGGGAAGAACTCCTGAATAAAATATACCATGCAAATGAATGAGCAAAGCACAGAAGAGAAATCATGTTTTAAAACAGCCTACACTAATTCCATTGAGAAAACCCAGCTTCTTTTCTATCATTCTCATCATTAGAAATAAATGAAGTTCTTATGCTCCACTGGCCACTAATATCAAATATTAATTGGATGGAAAGCATTGAAAAATGGCCATTGTAGAGCTACAAGTATCTCCCATGCTTGTTCAAGCACACACATGTACTCCTCACACAGTCAATATTCTTATGCAGCAGAGATATTAAGAAGCTGAGGTTCTGTAGTCATTATGCAGAAAACATCCTGGTATGTGGTCTCCAAGAAAAGAACAAGAGTAGATGCATATTTCAGCATCAGCATTAGTGGCATTGGCACTCAGAATGACCCCTGTGATCAGTGCTGGAATTCATACACTCCATAGTAAAAGATAGGGTCAGATGAGTTTGCTAGTGCCTCAGTGAAGTGAAATGGAGAATGATACAGTTGTCCCACCAAGGATACTTTTGTAAAGAACAGCTGGGTTTTGATGTCATCATGCCTTCTGTGGTTTATATACACATTCTCTTTTAGTGCCCAATGTTTTAGTGATAGAAATAAAAATGACTTTTTTTTTCTGGGAATGAAGATTTTCTTCCACTTTCATATCTATGAGCCTTTTTGGAGCATCCTCTTTTACCTCTCGTTAAATGACCATGGGCCAAAGCAATCTATATTTGCTGTTGTCATGATCACATGCAGCCCCAAACTTGCCAACTATAAACATGCAGATTGCAAGATGCTACCAGTGGGTGTTTCTGAGAGTCACATGTATAATGCATTTGAAGAATATAGTACTACTTCATTCAAGCCCCACATAATGAGTTGATGGTACTACTGAGTGGGGGGGTTTCAGATAGAAAGGAGTCTTCTCTAAGAGCTTCTCTGCTACTGACTATAGGAAGCAGTGAGCATCCCAAGTCTTTCCTCGGCAGTGCAGTCTGTTTGGCAGCTGGACCAAGCTCTTATGCATCATTTGACACATCTAGCAAGGCTGGTTTCAGAAAGAGCCAGGATTCTGCCATTAAAAGGCTAGAAATTTTGGCCAAGCATTTTTCAGTAGGATTGGGATCAAATGATTATTGATGGGATCAAATAAGACACTAAGTGTAACTGGATGAGCTCCCTATGACCTCCAGAGAGACAGACAGCTTATTGAAAAGCACTTCAGGCCTGTGGTGATCACACTTGGAAGAGGCTGGTCCCTCCTGTCTCTGAGGACATATGCTGTCTGCAGTTAGGCAGCTGGCCATGAAGGACTGGCCTCTCATTTTACCATTACCTCCCCAGCCTCATTCAGATGCAGTCTCCATTGTAGACCTTCCCACTGAGTAGACACACCCTGCTATAATCATGTTTCATGTTTGGGGCAATGTAAATCATTGTGGTTCCATTTGGTTTCTTGTATGAAAATTCAGGCTCAGGTTCTGCCACAAGGATTGATTTTGCTGTTGATCATTTTTGGGAAAATGGGTTTATTCTTTTCCCATAGACTCTGATTTATAGAAAGGACATAAACACTTCTGGGGCATCGGATCTTCAATCACTAAGGGAAAGGAGGCAAAGCTCAGTTCATCTTTTCCTGCTTCTGCCCAAGGGGCTGGTGGTCTTGTCTAGAGGGGAACAATTGTGTGGATGTGGCTATTTGTGGGGACGGAAGAAGAGGGATGATGGTTTTGCCATCCTTTGTAGTGAGGGGCCTGAAGTACCCTATTTTTCTCAGATTGAATATTCAAGTTTCCTAAACTTGAGCAGGACTTTGACTAGGGATGTGGCAAAAAATGGGAAAGTACCCAGTTAGAACAGAGTGAAACCTTTGAATTGCTCGTGGTTTGGGTTTTCTGAGAGGACAAAAGGATGCCCCAGAGGCCTTATGATGAATGACATGCTCATGCTTTTTTTTTTTCTTTGTGGGTTGCTGTGAATTCCTAGAGGGAAATCAACATTTTGGTCTGTAGCAATCCTCCAAAAGAGTCATTCATGGAGATGAAATAGAGAGGCAGTTGCTGGGATTATATGAATGGTGATGTACTATCCTGAGACATCCCAAATCACATAAAAGATGTTTACCTGGGGGCCAAGGCATTGCCCATAGCCCTGTGTAATATTCTGGTTTGTAGGTGTTTTGAGATCAGCTTCTTCCACCCTTCCAGGTGAGGGTCTAGAGGATGCTGGGGGATTAGAGGGCCTGTTTTGCTACAAACACTCCCTCTCCACTCCAGGAAAGGGGCTACATGACTTGGGTCTTTACATGTGCGGTGGAGAGTCCTAAGCGATTTAAGTAGAGGTATGCAATACAATACACCTGACCCTTGACCACACTTATCAGTCAGTCTCTTCCCATTTCATCTAGAGAGGGCATAGAGGAAAGGAAGATAGAGAGGAAATGTGAGCTCCCAGAAGGGATATCAGTTATTGGAGGTGAATTGGGAGACTTGGAACTAGTCCAGAGAAGAGCAGAGTGCTGATTTAAGAGTTGAAAGGACTGATTTATGATGAATGATGAAAAGAATTAAATATATATGGCTGGGCTAAAGTGGTGATGAAGGGAAAGCCATGGTAACAATCCACAGATCTTGGAGGAGGGAGACTGGCACTGAAGGAGAGGAGTTATTTAGTGTGGCCGTAGAAGTAATAGGATGAGACTTGTAGAAGGAAACTTTAGGTTAGATATCAGGAACCTTATTTTCTGAAATTGATATTCCTCTGACTATGGAATGGAATTCTAAGGGAGCAGGGAGTCAGGTGAGATGTGGGTCAGACAAGCCACATTGTTCATAATTGATACGTTCTATATTTTTAAATGTTGAGAAGTCCACAACAAGCAGGGGATCTGGGACAGGGAATGGCAGAGTGAATCAGGATGTTTTGGGATCTAATTCCTGAGAGGTTTGGGGCATTGGTGTTTCTAGGGGAAAAGAAAAATATTGATAAGTATCTTTGAAGTCGGTGGGAAAAGCACACAATAGGACTGTTAGTGAAAAAATATTTTTAAATTACTAGTTTCAGCTGGGTATGGTGGCACATACCGATGGATAATCCCAGCAGCATGGAAGGCTGAGGCAGGAGGGCGAGAGTTCAAAGTCAGCCTCAGCAAAAGTGAGGCATTAAGCAACTCAGTGAGACCCTGTCTATAAATTAAAAAAAAAAAAATAGGGCTGGGGATGTGGCTCAGTGGCCAATTGCCCCTGAGTTCAATCTTGGTTGGTACAAAAAAAATTTACTAGATTTATTCCTTTCTATCCCCAAATTAAACACAGATTTTTTTTTCTTTGGGTTATGGTCTATAGGTCCAGGAGGGGAAGGTACACTTATTAGAGAATTATATATCTAAGGCACATCTTTAGGTGTGTGTGTGTGTGTGTGTATGTGTGTGTGTGTGTGTAAGTATGTCTGTGTGTGTCACTGTCATTGGCAGGGTAGGTGACCACAGGGTCTTGAGAGGATGAGATTGGTTCTAGATTTGGTGGACTCTTATTGACTGCTTGAACATTCTTCAAAATGTTGAGAATAAATATGGCTATTCCAAAGATGAAGTTTGTCCACATCTAATTGAACATTCCACAAAATCACAAAAGAGAAAAAAGATCCACAAGAGGTTTTACAGAGTATGGGAGGAGAATATTACCATTAATACCAATGAATATCTTTGAAAGAAGTTGGGTTTCTGAAGGTCAGGAGGCCCGTGTGTGGGGGAAGAAAGGAGGAGCTGTGCCAGCCAAAGTTGCCACGTCCTGCCACTGTTAGGATTACTGCCTGATAATCTCACTTCATGGGAATTTGCCCGGCCTGACCCATAAAAGGACATTTTGCCGTTCTTGATAACTGTTATTAATGTCCTGTTACAGTTGTATGGAACATCACAATTTGTGAAGTTCTTTCACATTTATTATTTTTATTAATCCTGTAGTAGCTAGGACAGTTGTCCACTTTATTTTATAAGTGGAATAACTGTAATCAGAAGGTTGAGAACACCTTCTCAAGATTGGACAAGTACCAAGCAGTAGACCTAGAAACTTTCCTTTGTTCATTGAGAGGTTATGAGATGCCAGATGCCGGCTAGATACTGACCAGAGCCACAGTTCTCCTGGCCTTCTAATCAGGCCTTTTCCACTGAGAAGATAATGTCAAGATGCAAATTCTGAATGACTAAGACATAGAAGTAGGTGAAAACCTTTCCCATTATGCTTTTCAGAGACCCTGCCACAAATATTTGGTGGGCCATAGCCATGGCTTAGAAAAAATTACTTAAAATATTTGAGACCTTTTTCCTTATTATAAAAATGAGGATAGCAATGGTTTCTAAGTATTTCTAATTGGGGGTAATAATAGTTCAAGGTGTTGCCATGGAAATTAAATTAGATGTTGTATACAAATCTTTAATCAAATGCCTCATGGATAATGAAGTGTTCCATCAATATGATTCCTTATGGTTTTTCTCACACCAGTAACATTCCAGCATCCAGTCTATAAGCCGCACATTTTACAACTCTCAGAGTTTCATGTGCATTTTTGTCTGTCTGAATGGTGCCATCCAGAGTTGCATCATCCCTATGCATGACCACATGTGGTGACCTTGGAAATAGCAGTGATGCTGTGGGTTCCCCATAGCTTCTTACTGCAATTAGCTTCTTATTTCCAAGAGATGCAAGGTAGGACCCGTGGGAAGTGCGGGGAGTGGCCTCTGGGGTAGTATCTGTTGTCTCATCATGGAAGGCTTTTTTCCTCCTAGAATTGTGGAAGAGAAGGAGGATTGAAGCGTGATATTTACTTCATTTCTATCAACATGTATCCTCTTGTAGGTATTTTGACCTTGGATTCAGTCCAAAGATTCAAGCAGCATATTTACAATCCAACTTTTTTTTCCATAGAAAGACACCAAACCTTAACTTTGTGAAAATATGAAAACTTATACTGAGAAAGAGCAAGATACAGACATTATAGAAGAGTAGATTTTAGATAGTGGATCTTCCTTGACTGAGGGTGATCTGTCCAGTCCAGGCTCTGCCATTCAAAGGGACGTGTAGAACCACTGGCCTCTGGGAATTCCTATATTCTAATTAACTGGGCTGCACATACTTCCCTCCTGTTTCCAGCCTCACCATTCATTATCATCATGTGGAAGACATGGACAGGTAAGTACAGTACCCATGGGTTAATGGTCACGGGCCCATTATGAGCAGTTAAGCCTTTAAGATTCCCTGAAGACATATAACCCAGGGACTTGGTTGGAAGGCTGCCTCAAGATAGTGCCTCAACCTTAAAAAGGTCATTAAGCAACCACACCGCGTTTTGTAGGTAATGATTTTTACAAGCCATAGCTGAGCCCTTGCCTCCATCCTTACATTTGGTGATAATTTACATCTCCAGAAGATGCACATGCATATCATCTGTATTTGGGAGCAAGGAATGAAACACGCTGGTTTGGGTGGTTGTAGGTCCAGAGATCCCGTGAAAGAGCTGAGAATAAAGCTACCAAGGAACCTCATGGATGTCCTCTTCCTTAGAGCCCTCATGTTGCTCTCTGGTCTATGAAGCAGCCTCTGTTTTCTCAACCTTGTGATGACCTTGGCTCTTTCATATAGGGTCGAGGTATGAAGGAAGGGTAGCTAAAAGAGAGTGTTGACCTGGTGGTGATGTGGTGATGTGGTAAGAGGGTGGGAGATATCTGCCACCATTTTTGGTGAGCTGGATTTCTCAGAACAATTTTTTTTCCCTATTACACATTTTAAATGAACTTTCCATCAGGCTGTTCTGAGACTGAGTTCCTATCCAGGCAAATTCTATCAGCTTCCTTTGTTGGTATGCTGGGACATGTTCCAGAAAGTTGGAGGTCTCAGAACAGGACAGGAGAGCTCCCTTGGGACAGGTCCACCCAATTATTTCATAAATTAAGTCTTATTCCTTGCCTTTTTACCTTTCTGGCTAAGTAACAACAGGTTCATGGAGAGATAGGCAGTTGGAATTTCTTAGAGTAAGGAAAAGGCTAAAGGGAAGGAGTGACAAAAGTCTGAGCTCAGAGGAAGTCTGAGCATAGAAGTCATTTTTCCCAGTTCCAGGCTCTTTTGCAGGGGACAGGTAACTGAGGATTGAACTCAGGTTTACTCCACCACTGAGCCACATCCCCAGATCTATTTTGGATTTTATTTAGAGACAGAGTCTCACTAAATTGCTTAGTGCCTTGCTTATGCTGAAGCTGGCTTTGAACTTGTGATCCTCCTGCCTCAGCCTCCTGAGCCGCTGGGATTACAGGCATGCAACATGGTGCCTGGCCTAATTTCAGGCTCTTATAGCAGTGAATTTATGTGATATTATGACACAGGAACCTTCCTTTTAACAACGGAAAGTGATTCTTTTTAAAGAAAGTGATTCTTTTTAAATTGCAAGATTACAAAAACAGTAAAGTACATTGAGAGTACTAATCTTATGCATAGTTTGATGATGATTTACATATATCACATCCATATAATCACCACCAAGATCAAGATACAAAACATTTCTAGCACGAAGTTCTCTGCAATACTTTTCCAATCTGTATCCATCCTCCCTTACCTCAAGGTAACCATCCGTGATTCATAAGTCATCAGTAGTTGTGACTATTCTTGAATAGTCACATCACATAGATGGGATTATACCATGTGTCTTCTTTTGTGTTTGAGTTGTTTTACTGAACATGGTTTTCTGTGATATTCATCCACACTGTGATAGGTAACTGTATTCTTTCCTTTTTATTGCTGTATTGTATTCCTTTGTATGGATATACATTGTTTCTTTATTAATCCTGCCCTTTTTTTGCTAACAAGGATTTGAATCTGTGGGAGAGTTTAAAGTAAAAGAATCTTTCCCCCCTAAAATGCATAGAACACATCACAGACCTGGTGTCAAAGTTCTGCTCTATCATTTATTGGACCAAGGCTATTTATTTTCTTGTCTATATACTTTAGTTTTTTTTAACCTGTAAATTGAGAACAAATATATCTAACTCCCAGGGTTATTGTGAGGATTACATGGGATAAAGCATATAGAAGGTCCAGATACCTACCCTGTGTTCAACAAGTGTTAGTTTCTATCCCCAACTCTTGATAATATATATTTTTTTCCTTTGGTGGCCAGATGGATACTATAAAAAACTCTTACTGAAGCAGGTAAGGGCAGCTTTTATAAATGAGGTCATTAGCCTGCAGAGGTAAAAGTAACAACCAAGGACTCTGAAAGGTACATGAGATAATTATAATCAGTCATTTTATGTATTAATAAATGACTTAATAAAAATAGTTCTTATGTTCAGTTTAAAATTAACAGAGAAAATAAACTATACAATCAATAAATAATTTTAAAACTCTTTAGTCTTAGGTTAGTTATTACAGAGAGTAATAAATGGAGTGAGGAAAAGTTGGACAAAAAACATAATTACATTTACCTAAAGAGAAAGGCAAAAATGATTGAGAAACACAGAGACATGGTGAAGAAAGTGGGAGAGGAATGCAGAAGATGTTTCAGAGGCAACCCAGGAAAACAGAGGCCAGTTATCTTTGGGACACTGAGAGGCATAGACATGGAAAAAGAGACCCAACACATGGCAGAGAATTTGGAGAAGGGAGGAAACACTTGATTCTTTTTAGCCTAGAAGGATTCTGACCTGATGTCAAAATCTCTCAACCTGAGACCAACATTATGTAATAATTGTTTTCAGATTTATTGAAGTATAATTCACATACAAGAAAATGTGCCCATGTTGGCTGTACAGTTTGAGTTGTTAGATAGACATACAGTTTTGTGTAATGACCACCCTAATTAGGATGGAGAAAAAAATTTTCAAACCCCTGAAAGGTTCTTTTAGACCTTTGTCCATGAACCTCACATTCTCTGATATAGGAAACTTCTGATTTGATTTCTATCTCCACAGACGAGTTTTATCTGTTCTGGAGGTTCATAAAAGTGGAAAATTGAAGAGTTATGTATTCTCTTTTGTGTCTGTCTTCTTTCACTTAGAATAATGCTTTTAAGTCGGGTGCAGTAGCACATGCCTACAATCCCAGTGGCTCAGGAGGCTGAGGCAGGAGGATCTCAAGTTCAAAGCCTGCCTCAGCATAAATGAGGCACTAAGCAACTCAATGAGACCCCCCTCTCTCAAAATAAAATACAAAATAGGGCTGGGGATGTGGCTCAGTGGTTGAATGCCCCCAAGTTCAATCCCCAGTACCAAATAAATAAATAATAAATACATAAAATAATAATGCTTTTGAGTTTACATGTGTTGTTGCATGCATTATAGTTTGCTTTTTATTGCTTAATAATGTTTCATTTTATGAATACATGACAATTCATTTTTCCAATCATCATTTGATGGACCTTTCCAATTTGGGGCTCTAGTGAATAAAGCAGTTGGAAACATTTTGTGTATAAGTAATTTTGTGGATATATATTGTCAGTTCTTTTACAATCCCTTGTAGAATTATTGAGTCTTATGATAAATATATGTTTAACTCTATAAAACACTACAAAGCTGCTTTTCAAAGTGGTTGTGTCATTTTTCAGTCCCACAAGTAATATGTGAGAGTGTCGCTTGCTCTACATTCCAGAAGATACTTGATGTTGTCAATATGTGTCAATATCTCCTTGTGGTTTTAATTTGCATTTCTTTTGTATTGAATATCTAATATTGCATAGTCAATCGCCCCAAAAGTTAGTGGCTTAAAATAATAGTTTATCTTCCATAGATAGGAATTTGGGGATAGCTCACTGGATGATTTTTCTTGGACTCTCTCATCAGATTGCAGTCTGACATTGGACAAGGCTGCAGCTGTCACAAAGCTTGACTGAGGCTTCAGAGTTCACAAAGAAAGCAGCATGCCTGTGGGGTTGGCCAGCTTGCACTGGCTCACATTGGGAGGTCTTAACTCTTCTCCAGGTGGTCTTCTCCACAGGACTGCTTCAACATCTTCAGCATATGGTATCCAGCTTCCCTCAGAGTGAGCATCTACTGAGATGATCACAGGAATCTTTCTCCTTATTTTGCAAATTTGATAAATTTTATTGTTTGATTTTCAAATGTTGAATTGGCTTTGCATTACCAGAATAAACCCCACGTGGTCATTATATATTATCCTTCTTATACATTCTTTCCCTCCGTTATCTTCATTCTGCTGTAATTATTTACATAGTATACCTGTTTAAATTTTAAATTTCCCATTGAAAAATAATTTATCTCTCCTGAGAATTACACGTCCATCCATTTTCCAGAATTTTTATTTTTACCTTCTGGGACATAAGTAGAACAGCTTCTTTCAAGTCTTTGTCTGATAATCCCAACATCTGGATCATCTTCTTTTTGGCATCTGCTGATTATTCTTAGTCTTAAGAAACGATCAACTGGAGGGGAGGCGTTCGTATGTTGAGCAATTTTAGAGTGCATCCTGGAAGTGCTGAACATTGTGTTCCTTGATCTGACATTTGGATGGGGTTTGAACCTTAGTTTTGCACTCAAAGCCTTTTATTTTTCTTCAACTCTGTCTGCACATGCATCATTCAGATTAATAAGTGGGAACCTTGGGCTGGTTCCTTCAGAGAGTTAGTTTTCTCTTGTGTCCATGGGCCAAAATGAGCCAGATTCAGGCATTCTGCAAAGCCATGGGATGGTGCCATGGAAGATTAAGTACCCAGAGAAACCCTTTATTTGGGGTTGAAAGGCCAGAGAAAGGGTCTTGGTAACTCAGTGCATCTGCAGA